GAATATTTAAGAATGGTAGAAAGTGCGGACAAATGATAGAACGAAATGAAACTGCTGAATTAAGGTCACTCCTATGGAAATGGTGAATGTACCGAAATGGCTTCATGTACCGTACAAAATCGCAAAAACAATGATGCCCGATGGGTTCAACGACCGTTTCCGACTTCACGACGACAACTTTTTGAATGCTTTACTGAAAGACATCAACATTGAGCATATTCCACAGACTCTCGGAGGATATAACGAGGTAACACAACTAAGGTCTACTGCACTCACTGATCATTCAGTTGCAAATCTCTTCTTCGTTTAAATTACGTAATCCATCGTCAATTGACTACAGTTTCGATCAAGAACATTAATTATTTCCTGTCGCATGATATAATTACTTCCTTCATCATGATCATTAATTATAAGACGGTGAAGTGATACGGAATACTCATCATGATACTTGAATACTCTCTTGTCTTTCTTATTTCACTCTTTCAACAACTCACTTTCGCTATCATTGTAATATGAGACAGTGAACTGATATGGAAGTTATCATAGGGAATGTCAAAATCATAGAACAATGTCATTATTTGTATCTTAATGTAGCCACTCGATGCAGAAAATCAAAACGATTCCTGCACAAAAACTGACGAATGAAAAGTTTTGGAAACCGACCGATATGGAGCTGATTAGTGCACTAGAGACATTCCATATATCACCACGAAAGGTTCGTCAAATTCACGTTGATGTGACGGACGCGAATAATTCCTTGTTGTGGTACTACAGTACAGACGGTGATATATATTTCGGTGTATTCTACCAGGTAATTTGTTTCTTTCAATATTAACTCATGTCATTCATGAGTGGCTTAATTTCTACCCATATAACAGATATCTCACATCAATGATACTTCAGATAAGTGCAAGAATCTTATAGGAAATGTTTCATTTCATTAAAAATTCGAGAAATACTGTACGGCCATGATGTTTTGGTATTACTGGAGTACGTGACAATCTGGATTTATTGTTCACTTCTATGCGTTCTAATTTGATTTTGATCAGTACAAGAATCACTGAATTTTTGTTTTACATATATCTAAAAATGCATTAATTCTATTCGAAAAAGTCAACAATCCATGAGCGACATTCACCTGAATGCACCAAACACCAAATCCATGTTGAATCGATTATAAACAGCAGCCCAAACAACAACGACATTCCCCATTAACAATGTGCATTTCAGCCATTCGATGAGGCTATCAGCAACAATACGATCACAAACAACACCCGTCATGAGAAAGAGATCGACTACGATCGTCTCGAGATGGTTTACCCGTGGTGGAAACTTGCCGCCAGGATAGTGCATGAGTCGGGTCGTATTCAGTGCACAAAACCTGGTCGCTATTGGTTTGTGTTTTGTAATAAGCTGTCATGGTTGCAGAAACGAACCGTTCATTTGAATGTACAATTAACGGACGGCTCATGCACAAAACGATGTCATATGGACGGTACGATGAGTAATGCTGAGATCACCATTCAAACCGATCAAACACTTCACTTATCACTTTGATTTTGATCGACTTTGATCAAATCTCTCTGATTGATGTCTGATCGCTATCACTATGCATAATATTACTCTTCTTTATGAATATCGTTTCTATGTGTAATTTGGTTAATATGATCGTCTATAGTGCATTCTAGTGCATTGCGATTGATGATTACACTATTCGCAGGCGGAAATCGCAAACAGCTGACTATCTTTTTGAGCTCATAAAAAACCTTCCTGTGAATCCAGTTCCACTTCTTGTCATTATCATTTTCTGGTTCATAAATGACAGAGAACATACTCGATCAATTGTAGTTGCTAAATTGTAGCAAAATAGCGAAATCAAATTGTAGTAGCAAATTTGATCATGACGAGTGAGTGCATGATTCAAAATGAGTGTGAATGATGTGAGTCAATATAGTTCTAAATCGACTCAAAAGCATTCCTTCTGAATAAACTCCTCTTGCCACAACCTTGGGCACCAGTTGCTGTTCATGCATACATCTTCAGAACAACAAAAAAGTTCCCCTTCCCACTCACGATCAGTACAAAATCGAAGCAAACCTCATTCAAAGCGTCAATTTGATCGATTCGCGCAAAAAAGCGTCTTCCATTAGTGTTCAGCAACGATTTATGAACACTGCGCGAGCTCTTCGCTGTAGCAATCACCAAAATATTGCTATGAGCCGAAACACACCGAATCACTTAAATAAATCAACCAATCAAAGCGGAACAAACTCGCCTTCACACGAAATTATTATTCGTCCCAAAAATACTCAATTAGCAATTATTTCATACTCCTCACATTAACACACCACTAAACATATAATCGTTCAACAAATCACTAAGTTTAATCGAAACAATGAATCATTTATGATAAAAATTTAAAAAAAAAATAAACAAAACAATTGTTAAAATTTACTCGCAAAGGTCCGTTCCAAATGTAAATTTCGTTGGTCATCGTTTTTTGCCGTTGTTGAACAAAAATCGATATTATCAAGAATCAACACACACGGTTTACGTCGTTTCAGCTGCTCAACTGTCGATGTGAGTTGTTTT